TGGCTGCCCAGTTTAGAGTTCCCTTGATGTAGATTCCGGATCTTGATTTGTCAGCAACAACAACTCCAGATGGAAAACAAGAGTTGTTGCTTCTTCTTCTCCAGAGCTTTTGTCTCGTTGAGTAGATCTTTATCTCTGTCTTCAATTGTTTTCTTTGTTGCAACAATGCAACCACTTTATAATCATCTTCAGATTCATCATAACCAAACCCATACGTTACAACCTCATCGCTCGTTTCAAGATCAGAATCAGACAATCTTTGTAGAAGCTTGATGGTCGGGTTCCACAAGAAGAAGTTTTTGTTGTAATCTACATGGAAACATACCAATCCGTTGCAGGTCCCCACGACTTGATAGTAATCTCTATCTATAAGCTCACCATCATGCTCTAAAACATTGACCGTTGATTCATTGTACAGAGATTGGACGCAGCATGACTTGAGATGGTAACGAGACGTTGTGATGACTCCGTATGGGCTCTTCTTACAAGTTGTTGCCTTCGACGCCTCCAAGATCAAAGCGTGTTTGAGGGTAAACAGAGTCTCTGAGATCAAAGACCTCCACGAGCTGCACACGCATCTGAATCGCGTCAATGACTTTACAGGTAGTCTTAAGAGAATCTCTTCCATCATTTCAATAGGAAGATTAGGTGGAGAGAAGAAGCTCTCTCTGGTGGTTTCCTCCATGAGCTTGAGCAGAGGGATCAAGAGCTTCTTGGCTTTAACCAATAAGCCTAGAAGCGTATTAATATAAAAAAAAAGAATGTGGAGTTTCTTTCTTTAGTTATATGCACAAGTGTTATATGCGCAAGTGGGTGTGGAAGAAGAGGAGATGCATGTATCAGGATAATGTAAAATATTAATTATACATTATGATAAGGTATTGTGGTAAAGATGTTGACATTTAAAGGACACTTTAGCACATAAGCTAAAGGGTATGGCCAGAAGAAGCTGTAGGACAATAAAGTATGGAATTTTATGTCTGGCTCCATCATTAGATATTGATGGACCGTGGCAGAAATTTCTTCAAACTATTACAAGAAAGAGTTGCAGACAACTCTATGGAGATCTAAACTGAAGACTGAACCGTACAAACTTCTCAAGATACACTAAGTTATGGAGTCGAGGAGGTTCTTGGTACTCACTGTTAGGAGGTTTTAATTGGAATGGAGTTCCTCACGGGTTATCTGCACAAGTATTTTCTCAATAGCATCCATGAAGCCTGATAAGTCTTGCCGGGTCTGTAAATCCAAGGAGTTTGCTAGCTCCTGACGAATATTATAAGATAAATCGTTAAGCTTAGCAAAACCAGAAAAACATGCTCCAAGTCAATTTACTATGCTGTAAATTGTATTTAACCTAGACCAATGGAGTAATCATGTTACTATATCTTAGATGTTCAATTTGGGAGATTGAATTCAACTGACATCAATGACCAGAAAGATGGAACTAACCCCCTATTTTTATTTTTACCAACAGAGGGGACCTTTGTTTATGATGGAATTGTAAAATCGAGAAGAAAGTGGTGAGTTTGTTGGTGAAACATTGTCTTACCTCAACTTTGCAGATAAGGCTCAGTGAAATTCCCTTTGACTGATTGTCAGAGTTCTTGAGAGATGCAAGCTTCAATGGAGCATTCAGAAGCGGCCAACCATGAGAGACCTTTAAAAAAGCATCAATACCTCCGGCAATATGAGCCACTATTGTTTCATCTTTGTCATAGTATTCGAACATGTGCCTGCCATAGGATCATAGAAGATGCAGTGGTCAAACAACTTGAAGATATGAGTTTGCTAGGAAAAAAAATCCGCTCTCAAGCTACTGGAAAGAAAAGGCTCTCACCTGATTGTATTCGAACTTTTCACCATATATTTTCTTAAAGTGGTCGAGATAATTCTTTCTTGCACTTTGGAGACAACCCACTGGAGTGACGATCTTGTGTCTAGCCCTGTTGAGTGTAACCTTATCTGCCTGCAGTTTTAAGATATGTTATGGCACAATTAAAATTAATTCAACTTATCTTACGATTGAAAAAAGAGCTAACTTATACAGTAATTCAACTTATTGAACAATTAAAATTAGATCCAGAGGTTGGATGCAGATGCATATCTCACGGCTTCTTGGGTAGCTATGTTAGCCAGAAGAAAGTTAGTATTAACAGAGATTTAGAAAATTGCAGATGTACAGATACATACAGTTGGGAACACTCAAGCCAGAGGCTGAGTAACCTTTTGAAAACCAAAATTACCAAATCGAGGGCTTTTGGTAGCAAGATTAAATCTAAAGCTATCACCTAATCTTATCGTCTCTGATTTAAGTACCCACACAATTCCAGATCAAGAAGTCATACAAATGCCAGATAACATAAAGAGCTAGAGTACACACCTGAAAGAATCAGCAGCCTCGATGATGTCTCCTATATATACATCATTTGGTAACATCTGAGGGGGAAAATAGCATTTGATATTATTCAAAGACAGAATGGTAACTAGCAAACAGAGACATTATTGAAACTTGGAGACATTTTCTAACCTCGACTTTTTTTATATCTGTAGTTTTATCCTGAAGATGAATGAGCAATTCATGGATCAATTCAGATGGCTCAGTAGTGTGTTCAAGTTTGTGCTGTCCAAGCAAGCCATCTAGTTCTGGAATATATGTCCTCAGTTGGAGCCTAACGAAATTTCTATCAAACTCGAGCACTTTCAAACCTGTCAATGCGTCCTCAACCTGTTCTGCAGCATCAAACCTGAAGGTAGAAGAACCCAGATAAATACAGGGTAAGGATGTAAATCAATGAGCACGTTAAATTACCTTTTGCATTTAGAATCCAGATCTTCCAATGACTTGAGAATCATCCTTTTCTCCTCCATCTGATTTTCAAGTTCAAGCATCTGCAAAAACATGTGAAACGGGTGTACAGAAACTAAGCAAAGATGTGGTAGAGCTCTAATCTTTTTCTATTAACACCGAAAGGGAACAAAACTCAGCACAATATAAAACAACAAGAAGACAAGCAGTAGCATGCAGATAAAATAAGCATCAGAAAAAACTTCTGGAAAATTTAGGGTGCAAGAGATGTCTCTTTGATGTTTAAGTCTTAACCACTACGAAATATTATTCAGGGAGGGGGAAATTATAATTGAAAGGACACTATATGATCGTTTGCCTTTGCATGCTCGTGAAAAGTAGTTTAGTACTTTCTGCTACATTAGGTCTAATCAATCAGGCCAAGCAAGAGATGGCAGATTATAATGATAAAAGATGAAATTTTGTTGAGATATCGTTATGTTCATATACACAAGCTTCTTCTACCAGAAACAAAACTTTAAAACCTCGCACCTTAAATTTCTCATCATCAATCAAACTCAACGCATCACATGTTTCCATAGAGCTGCTAGATGGTGGATTCTCTTTTGACTTCTCCACATCCTAAAATGAGAATCACAGACCCTCAAATAAGCCTTTGGATTCCACAAAACAAATTTTACTGCGGAATTACAATGAAATCATGCTTTCAACCCAGAAAATTCTTGTTAAAGTACTGAGCAAAGAGCAATGAACAGGAAATAACCTGAGATGACGTATAATCCAATGAAACTAGAAGACCTTCAAGATCCCTATCCAGCCTACTAGAATCTAATAAATTCAAAGAAGAAAATTCATGTTAATAAAATCAGTAGAACTTGGAAGAGGATGCTTTTACATTAAATCTGCAGAAGAAAACTTATATTGAACCTTCCACATGAGACCTAGAAAGACGTTCAATTTCATCAGAGACCTTGGCACTTTCAGCCTCCACGGAATGAAGCTCCTTTCTCAAACACTCCAAGTAAGCATCTGTGAGATTCAAACATTTTGCGTCAGATTATTTCATTATTATCTCACAGAAATCTTTATATCATTCCTCCAATTTCTTTTCACTTTAGTCTCAATTCCCAAGGAAGCAGTAGTTGCCAAACAAAGCTATAAAAGGTGGTTCAAAGGAATAGCATCTCATCATTGAGAGAATAGAAGATTTAGGGTAATACATACAAACCTGAATCTTCGAAACCCAACAAATCAACATCGCAATACTCATCAACAATCTCTTTCACCTTTGTCTACGCAAAATTCCATAACCCCAACAGCGAAATTAGCCATACGAAGGCGAAGAAGATTATACAAAGTGAAAAAAAACGGAAAATTAGTTCTCAAACTCGAAATTACCTCAAGCTGAAGAGCAAAATCCTGGACCAGAGTCTCGGGATACGATTCTCCAGTTTCGTCTATGCAATTCCGGTGAAGGAGCTCGAGCTCTTTCACGCGGCTGGAGAAAAGCGAACAAATAAATGTACAAGGAGCACAAAATCAAGGAATGAAAAGCCGAGAAAGAAATAGAAAACCTGCGAATCTCTTCGAGATCGAGAGATCCGTCGTGTGTATCCTCCATTGAAAGAAGCTTATGCTTTAGGGATGAATTTTCGCGCTACTGTGAGAAGTGTGACTAGTGAGAGAGACTAAAGAGATGAAGAAGTTGAAAGCAGAGGCGATTTCAATTTTGAAATGGGAAAGGCCAAAGAGAAACAAAACCTTGATAAAAGCGTCTCTAATTTATACTTCTTTTAACATTAAACCCCTTAATTATATTTTGAGGCAATCAGACCCAAAAATAAGAGTGATTGCAATTCCGGTCGAGTTTATTTGATTTTCAATCGCTAGCGTTCACCGGACTTTAAACAATTTTAAGCTCGAGTTGTTCGGTTTTTGAAAAATGCTATAAGGGAAAACATTTACATAATTTTTGAAAAGTGTTATTTTTAAGAGGTAGAATTTCATAAATGCCACTAATGAAATATACAATTTTGTAAAAATGTTATTTTGAGTTATTCGTTTTCAAAAATGCCATAAATTGAAAAATAAATTAGTTATCTGTTTTCCATAGCTAAGATTTAAGGATAACAAAAACTTAAAATTCCTCATTTAGCAAATTTGTCAAAAGATAGAAGCAGACTACATCAATACTAACAAAGGGCTAAAAGGTACGAAACCAGACGCAATAAACTAGAGTCTCTATAATTCATCATCTCCAATAGCTTCGATGTACAAAAATTCTAATGAAAAGAAGGAGATAAAAAAATAAAATAAAGAAACAAGTACCTCAAAAGGAAACTCGGCCCAGAGACGCTTGCACATGAAAAGTGCATTCGTGTAAACAAAATGACCAAGCATAGGTTCCATGGTTTTCTCCATCGAGAGAGAAGAGAGTTCATATTACATTATAATATTATTACTAATAATAAAGAGTTCATATTACAGAATGAGAAAGAGTACATAAATGTTTTACTACATCTTACAAACACAGAACAAGCTTAAACACAAACTAAGAAGAGAAGCTTAAACACAAATTAAGAAGAGTTCTTCATAATACTTATATTTTAACATTTTAAGAAGGTAATCCTGCAAAAAAAAAATAAAGAAGAATGAAACATTAAAAATAATGATACTAAAATATATTACAAAAAAAATTATCTCCTATTACCTGGACGACGGAAGCCATAACGGAGAGGAGGTGCTCCATATATCATAGGACGTGTTCTAGGATCTGGCGAAGTCTAGACGCAAGTTAGGTTTGCAAGATGATACAAACTTCGATCAAGATCTTCTCTGTCATCCACCGCTAACATTACAGTTATAGTTTGAGCTCACAAATTTTTAATGGGTTGAACAAAATCCCCGTCCGAAGATATAATTAATATGTTAGGCGTCCTAAATGCGCTGAAAAACATGCTTTTAACCAGATAATTGTCGGTGATGTATGTTTTCCTCATTATTTTAGTTTTAAAAAACAAGTTTATTATGTAACCCAATTGAAGGAATTAAAATCCATGAGAGAAAAAACGTTTTTTACCATGTCTTCGACCACGAATACGACCTGTAATGAGATAAGGACAAGTATCACGCCCTCTGCGTTTGGGATGTAACATCAAAGGTTAGGTGAGCAGTCAAGATAATTGTCTTATTATTCATGGTATTAGACTCTAGTTTTGTTTTCGAGGTTACAAGTTCGACTCCCTTCAAAACGAAATTTATA